CCTGTAATTGGTATATCATTCTTTTCTGTTTTTCTTTTCTTAATTTATATGCCAGCCACCTTCCAGGTTTATTTGCATGTTCAAAATAATTTTGTTTTGTAAATAATAATTTTTTAATTAGTTCCTCTTGATTTAAAATGTTCATCTCATGTTTAACTAATGCTAGTTCATTTCTGATATACTCATCTCCCGGGGTTTCCATTTGCTTATTTTCCAATTTCTCTATCCTTTTTGTTAGGGCTTTCTGCTTCCTCTCTCTTTCCTTGTTTCTATTTGCTATATAAGCTATCGATATTCCCCTTAAATATGCCTTCATCATATCCCACAGTTCCCAGAATTTCAAGCAGCATGTCCAAATCTTCATCTTCTGGATTCAGAAAAACAACATATTTGGAAGGCATCACACGGAACAAGGTTGTCTCAAAACATCACAGCCTCAGGCACATGAAAAGATAATCTGTAGCAACTAGACTTTTTCAACTTGCTGATAGATTCAAGCTCCTGGATTGGTTAGTCCTAAACCCAGCTTTTAGTACATGCATGTACTGGATGTAATATAGATAAAGTTTCCTTACAGACAAAGACTTAAAACCATGCAACCAACAATTAAACCCAAGACTTGGTTGGGTGAGGAAAAGCTGAAACTCCAGGCCTCCCTTGATTGCCCTGATTGGAATGTTTTTGAAGATGCTTCTGCAGACCTAGATGAGCTCACAGATACTGTAACATCATATGTCAGCTTCTGCGAAGACTTATGTGTACCAACAAGGAACCTGCAAATATACAGTAACAATAAACCTTGGTTCACAGCTAAACTTAAGCAGCTACGTCATTCCAAAGAGGGAGCCTACAGAAAAGGTGACAGAATGCTATACAACCAGGCCAGAAACATATTAACAAGAGAGATCAGAGCAGCAAAAAGAAGCTACTCTGAAAAGTCAAAGAATCAGTTCTCAACAAATGAACCAGCAAACATGTGGAAAACTCTTAAAAACATCACTGGCTGCAGCAAACCTCCTTCCCAGGCAGAAGGAAATCAACAATTAGCAGATGACCTGAATGTGTTTTACTGCAGGTTTGAAAAGAAATTACAGCCACCTATCTCCACAACCCACATCTCAAACACACCAATAACAGCCAAGCCTCCTACAACTGGCCCCAATCCATTGGGTTCACAACCTCTGGTGATCACAGAAAAAGAAGTGCAAGATCTATTACACAGACAGAAGCCAGGAAAAGCACCAGGGCCAGACAAGATAACTCCTTCTTGCTTAAAAGTCTGTGCTGACCAATTGGCTGCCATCTTCACCTGAATCTTCAATAGATTACTAGAGATGTACTATGTTCCTTCCTACTTCAAACGTTCTACCATCATCCCAGTGCCAAAGAAGCCCTCCATCACCAGTTGCTCTGACATCGGTTGTTATGAAAATCTTTGAAAGGCTTGTGCTGTCCCACCTGAAAACCATCACGGATCCGCTGTTAAATCCCATGCAGTTTGCATACCAAGCAAATAGATCGACAGATGATGCTGTTAACATGGCTCTGCATTACATCCTACAACACCTTGAATCTCCAAATACTTATGCAAGGGTTCTCTTTGTAGACTTCAGTTCAGCATTCAATACCATCATTCCAGACACTCTTCTAAGTAAATTAAACCAACTAGCGGTACCTGAACACACTTGTAAGTGGATCATAAGCTTCCTAACAGACAGGAAGCAGCAAGTGAAGCTAGGCAGAATCACATCTGATACCTGTACAATCAGCACAGGGCGCCCCAAGGCTGTGTGCTTTCTTCACTTCTCTTCTCCCTATATACCAATGACTGCAGCTCAAACGATCCATCTGTTAAAATACTGAAGTTTGCTGATGACACAACAGTGATTGGTCTTATTTGAGACAACGACGAATCTGCATACAGACAGGAGGTTGTACAACTTGCCTCATGGTGTAACCGGAACAATCAGGAACTGAACACACTCAAAACTGTAGAAATGGTGGTAGACTTTAGAAAAAACCCTCTCATACTACCACTTCTTACAACACTAGACAACAAAATATCAACAGTAGAGACCTTCAAATTTCTTGGTTCTACTATATCACATGACCTAAAATGGACACCTAACATCAAAAACGTCATCAAAAAAGCACAACAAAGATGTTCTTTCTGTGCCAACTCAGAAAGCTCAAATTGCCCAAGGAGCTGCTGATACAGTTCTATAGAGCAGGGGTCCCCAACCACCGGGCCGCGGACCAGTACCGGTCCGTGGAGCACTCTGTACCGGGCCGCAAAGGAAAAAAAAATTAAAAAAAATGGCGGCTTTATTCGCCTTCGGTGAATGTTGCTGGGATCGGGGATCAAGGACACAAATGAGAGAAGGGGAGGGAGGAAGCAACCGAAGCCTGTCCTGCTCTCTGGCTCAGTGGCTTCGGCTTCCTCCCGCCTCATTCCTCTCTCAGTCGCTCTCTCGCTCCTCCACCAGCCCAGGAAGAAACTGCTTCAAAGAAGCCGGGGGGGTGGGGGGTGGGGTGGCTTTTCCTGTCGGCGCAGCTCCTCCGAAGCACCCGTTTCACCCCCACCCTGCCGCCAATCAATCCAGGTTCAATCCAGTGCTCCATTCTGCCTGCCTGCCTGCCTTCGTTTCTGGTAGTTTCGGAGCAGCTTCGGCTGAGAATAATAACTATTCGCCTCTTTTTCTCAGCCGAAGCTGCTTCGAAACTACCAGAAAACAAGGCAGGCAGGCAGAACGGAGCACTGGATTGAACCGCGGGTGGCGGGGCGGGGCGGGGCGGGGCGGGGCGGGGGTGAACGGGCGCTTTGGAGGATCCGAAACCACCAGAAACGAAGGCAGGCAGGCAGAACGGAGCACTGGATTGAACCGCAGGCGGCGGGGCGGGGCGGGGTGGGGGTGAACGGGCGCTTTGGAGAAGCTGCGCTCCGAAACCACCAGAAACGAAGGCAGGCAGGCAGAACGGAGGATTGAACTGTGGGCGGCGGGGTGGGGGTGAACGGGCGCTTTGGGGAAGCTGCACCGACAGGAAAAGCCACCCTGCCGGCTTCTTTGAAGCAGTTTCTTCCTGGGCTGGTGGAGGAGTGAGAGAGCGACTGAGAGAGGAACGAGGCAGACACCTGAGGGATGAGGCTGAGGGAGGGAGGGAGACACCTGAGGGATGGGGCTGATGAAGGCAGGGCCGAGAGGCGAGGCTTCTCCGTCCTGCAGGGACTATCTGTCACTCAGGGTTGCAATGAGGAGGCATTAGCGTTCCCTGAACTTGGTGGTTTGCTGGCAGACGTTTTATTACCCAACTAGGTAGCAACATCAGATGTTACCTAGTCAGATAATGAAACGTCTGCAAGCAAACCACCAAACTCGGACACCCCCCCCCCCCGGTCCTTGAAAAAGTGTTTCTGAGTGAAACTGGTCCCTGGCACAAAAAAGGTTGGGGACCACTGCTATAGAGGAATTACTGAGTCTATCATCTGCACCTCTATAACTGTCTGGTTTGATTCTGCAACCCAACAGGACAGAGACAGACTTCAGAGGATAATTAGGACTGCAGAAAAAATAATTACTACCCACATGCCTTCAATCGAGGACCTGTATACTGCATGAGTCAAAAAGAGGGCTGTGAAAATATCTACAGACCCCTCACATCCTGGACATAAACTGTTTCAACTCCTTCCCTCAAAACGACGCTATAGAGCACTGCACACCAGAACAACTAGACACAACAGAACAGTTTTTCCCCAAAAACCATCACTCTGCTAAACAAATAATTCCCTCAACACTGTTCAACTATTACAAAGTCTACACTACTATTACTATTAACCTTCTCATCACTCCTTATCATCTATCCCCTCCCACTTGTGATTGTAGGACTGTAACTTTGTCGCTTGTATCCTTATGATTTATTTATATTGACTGTTTCCTAGTATTATTTGATTGCTGACTGTACCCTATGACTATCATTAAGTGTTGTATGTTGTGATTCTTGACTCTTGACAAATGTATCTTTTCTTTTATGTATACTGAGAATATTTACACTAAAACAAATTCCTTGTGTTTCTAATCACGCTTGGCCAATAAAGAATTCTATTCTATTCTATTCTATTCTATTCTATTCTATTCTATTCTATTCTATTCTATTCTGTTCTATTCTATTCTTATAATGGCATCAAGGCATTCGTTTTAGTGTCCACAATGCACCAGAATGATCTCAGTTAGTGCCATTGTGGGCAATCTAAGGCATATGATTTGATAGTCCAACATAACTTAGGCCCCCAAACTTTCCATGGAATGTCATTAGGGCAATTTCCATACCAATCTGGACTCTATCCTTGCTTGGCCAATAAGCAGTATTTTTGTACAAAGCATATTATCTCGATTCCAACCTCCATCTTTGTATCTACATATACAGTATAATTCACTAGTGGACATATCTCTGAATAGGAAAATACATATTCCATATCAGAATTCTGGTCATTTTATATACTTGATAGCATCAAATTTATAGAGCTACCCAAGTCAACCAACTCAGAGCAGATACAAAAAAACAGCTAATACAAAAACACTAAATTATAAGCAAGGCTGGATAAAAATGATAAAAGCAAACAACAAACAAAAAGCCAGTCTGATAACCAAAAGGCACCAAAAACAATTTCTTACCCCAGGGCCTGGGGAAAGAACCAGATAATTAAAATTAATTTGCTGAACAATGGAATTGGGGCCATGTGAAACTTTGGAGAGATGCCAGTCTAGACAGCAGGTGCCATGACAGTAAGGTATGACACTATAATAATTTCTTAATGTAACCATATTTATGTTAAACCAGATGTTGGTCAATTCAACGACTAAAAGATCTTGGCCAAATTCCTATAAGAGATGCCAATGGATTTTTCACACCTAAAATTGCAACACTATACACTTAGCTGTTCAGGATTGTAAAATTGCTGCTTGCCAGTCAAGTACGTTTATAACTGAATGCAGACACTTTACCTTTTTTTCTTGATCGATGATGACCAATTATTACTCCATATATCCTTGCATTTGGAGGCTTGCTCAGTTTTCTGCACTCTGGCTGTATTAAGAATTGCTCTGTTTATATAAAAAGGAAAATCCATTTGAAAGAAGAGAAAAAACTCTTTGCAAAAGCACAATGAATTGCTGAAAAGATAAGTAACTGCTCAAATTATAAAAGTAGCAAGAAATACCAATGAGATCTATTTCAGTTTGAAGAAGAATGACTTTGAAATTCCACCCAATGCAGAATTTATTTTTTAAACTTTATTTTTGATTGAATTATATAGTTCATTGTAAAGATGCTAATGTAAATCAGAAACACATTAAAAGAAATAGAATGCCCACTTTAACTCTAATAGAAATACATTTCAAAATTGTATTGACATATTTTACAATAAATATAAAATGTTTTTTAAAGTGTTCTCAAAATCCTATTTTTTAAAAACAAAATTACAGCATCTTATCTGTTTTTAATGGCAGCATTAAGTTTTTGCAATTCTAGTACAACTTCACTCCAGGGTAGCTTTAAGAAGGAAGCATTGATTTATAAGCAATTACATGCTGATACATTAATTCTGAATTTTTTATGCTGGACAACTTATGCTAGGCAGTTGTCCCTAGAACAGTTCTAAAGTAAAATAGTGAACCCTTATCTAGGTTAGGTTAAATAGTACAAACTGCCCAGCATAAAACATTCAGAATTAATGTGTCAGAATGCAATTGCTTATAAATCAATGGTTCCTTCTTACAGCTACCCTGAAGTGAAGTTGCACTAGAATTGCAAAAGCTTGATGCTGCCATTAAAAACAGATAATTCAAGTTGTATTTGGAGGAATAGTAAAAGGCAGAAAACTTTAGTAAAACAAAGCAACTTCAGGTACCACCATCCTAACCATTAATTTGTCCTAATAATTGGAGCAGTTATTAGAACGAATTAATTTACCCAAAATCAGTGATTATTTATAGTTAAAGCAAATATTTAGACACCCTGCTTTGCTCTAATCTTTGTATCAGCTGATTCTTTTTCCCTGTAATTTGGGTATCCAGCTAATTGTATGTGGCACTGTGACCCTGGGTTTAAGTTTTTTATTCTAAATATTTTTTCTTTCTCCAAATATTCTCATTTTCATTCTCTCTCTCTCCCTCTCTCTCCTTTTCTCTCCCCCTCCTTCTTCCAATCTCTCCATTTATTCTTCATTCATTCTGCTTCTATAAAAAAAGCCAAATAAATAACGATTTAGTTATTCTACACAGCAACAAATGAGCTCATATATGCTGGCTTGGGAACTCTGAGAGTTGAAGCTCTTGAAAATTAAAATTGCCAAGCTGAAAAACAACTCCTTATGATATTTGTTGCCTCAGCAAGAGGGTTGCAATGCAGTAGAGAGAAACCATTACAATGGCTGTAAGCCCTGGGTCTCTGGTAGGCAACTTAAATACAGCCTGGCAAAAAGCTTCATACCCCAGGGATGTTATGTTCTTTGAGGTAAAGGTGAAATGCAGCTCACATAGTCCATCTTCTTCAACTCTTCCATAAGTGATCTATGTGTAACACAGAAGCTTCCGTCCAACTGCTGGGATAATTATAGGTGTCTTTTCTGTAGATGTTGCACTCCACAGAAATCTCTATAGCTTTTCTAACCTCTGTGGAGTCTGCTTCTGGCCACAGGAGGGCATAAAGAAAGGAAGCAAAGCAGAAGAAGCAAACCCATGTGGCCATTTCATTTTGCACTTCTCCAAAGCATGGAAAGGACGCACATTATCCTACGAAGCAGCTTGGAATGTTTTGCTAAAAATTTGTCAAAGTGACATCTTCCCACTTCCTCCCAGGATTTGCACGTCAATACTGAATTCTGTAGGGGAGCTACCAAGAATAAACACGGAAACTCACAAAGCACTTGGAAGAAGAGATATCTCTAAACCCTTTGAGAAATAAGGGCTGAATTGCACACAACCTTTTACAATAATCAGCCATGAATTTTAGTTGAACATAGCCCAATATATTGATGTAATCTGTTTCATCCCTGAAAACAGCTTCCTTTCCACCTCCCTTCAGCTAATACTGTATCTCACTACCACTTGGCTGAGAGTAGGCTCCTACAACATTAAAGAAACTGGCATTGAAAAATAATGTTTGAATAATCACAGTAAGGAATGTTTGGCTGTTGATGTGGTCTAAAAGTCGGCCCTTGACTTGGTAAAAGTTGATAACGAAGGCAGCTGTTGTGGCTTGAGAAAAGTGTTTTCCTGACAAGAAGTGACAGATAGAAGGTTATTAAAGAGACATCCAACCTAGAATTAAGGAGAAATTTCCTGACAATGAGAACAATTAATCAGTAAAACAGTTTGCCTCCTGGTATTGTGGTTGTTCCATCACTGGAAGTTTTTAAGAAGAGATTGGATAGCCATTTGTCCTGAATAATACAGGAGCTTCAATTCTGTTATTCTATTATTCTGCTTCCAATTCTGTTATTCTATTTTTCTGCTTCCTAATATTGTGACCAGAGTTAAAAGCCAAGCAAAAGGACAAGAAAACAACAATTAAGAGATGGTAGTCAAATCTATAAAGTAATTAGCACTGTTCAGCCATGGTGTGAACCCTAATCACTGCATTCCACAATGAAACAGAGAGACAGTCAGACAGTTTATAAAAATATCAGTGCTCTGGATCATAAAAATACTTTGGCAGAACAAAACAGTATCAGGCAAGCACAGAGGCACAGACAAAAAACTGTTTTCTCATATAAGTAGTTTTAGCAAAGTGAAATATACTTTTGTGTTTTTACCTAATTGTCCTAAGCCAGAATGTAAATTATTGTTATTTTTTTACTGCTTAAGTATGGTTTTAATTTTGAAACACGTAAGTACAGTATCATTAACATTTAAAAATTTCTAGACAGTACAAATCAAAGCAGTTAAAATTTAAATTCCTATCCTTTAACATTTTAAACAAAAATCTTAAAAATAATTTGAAAAGCTATTTACAAAATATTTGCATCAGATATTATCAATGTAAATTATTTTGTGTGGGCTTAATTCCATGTTTTGAGTTAATCATTTCGTTCAATAAGCAACTGAAGATAAATTAAAGACATTGTGATTTATCACAACATGAGAATTCAGTACTTCCTTCTTACTTTCTTAAAGGCTTTTTTCTTTTGTTTTTTTATCTCTGCAAGCCTTCATGAATGAAAACTTGAAATAATATAAATATTATTTGATGTAAGTAATATCTGAAGCTTCCATTTGTCTTTGTAATTTCTCAAAATCATAATGGAAATATCTACTCTAACCATTGCTGTGTTTAGAGTAAGCATATTAAAATCAACATCTTAAATTGATTTAAGTTAGCAATAACTAACTTGTCTCATTTCAGTATTTTCAGCAAACTTCCTCTAAGCATTACTAAATTTGGGTCCATACCATGACTCCTTACAAAAATTCTAGTTATTCTAGTTATAGCTCTATAATTTTTTCTCAGACATCTGCAGAGTTGGATGCAGTTGGTTGCTGGGTCAATCGGGATGTGCAGTCAATGGAACACACACACACACAGAGAGAGAGAGAGAGAGAGAGAGAGACAGAGACAGAGACAGAGACAGAGACAGAGACAGAGAGACAGAGAGCCTCATAGCTCCCCATTTTGCAGACCAAGCCTAACTTCAGAACTCTCACTACCAATGTTTGAGAAATCCAAACTAAGCTAAATCAATTATCAATGCTATGCTGTGTTGGTATATTTGTTTCTTTTGCTTGGTTTTTGCTTTGTCTGTTAACCTCTAATTTTATTATTTATCTCAACCTTCCACCAAACTCAAAATCTTCTTTCTTTATGATGTTGGAGATGCAGCTTGCAATCCTCTGCAGCTTATTGTATAGCACTGTTCTACTTAGGGCTACCACATCTGCACTGCAATGTATATATTTATATCTGTACATCTTTTCTGGCATCTAGAGGCTGTCAGGATTTTTGCAAATTAAATATAGTTAAGCTATTGTTCCCTCTTTAGATCTTATTTTGCAATTTCTTGGAATCAAGGAATGGAGCACATCCTCTTAGACAAGATAATTTCTATTGAACCATCCATAGCAGTGGTTTAACATTTATAAATCTACCAGGAAAATGTCTGTATGAACAATATTTCATGTGTGTGTGTGTGTGTGTGTGTGTGTGTGTGTGTGTGTGTGTGTGT